TCAGGTCATGATCCCAGGGTCCTGGGATCGAGCCCCACATTAGGCTCTCTGCTCGGCGGGGAGCCTGCTTCCCCCTCTCTCTCTCTGCCTGCCTCTCTGCCTACTTGTGATCTCTGTCAAATAAATAAATAAAATCTTAAAAAAAAAAAAAGAGTTAAGAGTTGTGGTTTAAAAATGGAACAGAAACTATGCCATAGATGCAAAAGGCATTTGGCTTCTATTTTTCTTATAAGTAAAAGGATAAATTATGTTAACTCAAAAGAATATATAAGTTTATCTTCTAATAGTGATTTTCTAATAGTGAACCAGTTAAATAAAGTGTTTTATTTACAGAAACAGAAAGGCCATTCCTTGACATTTTCAGATACTTCCAGCTAAATTAACACAGGTTCAGTGACTTCCTTATCAAGCCACAAAATCTAATTGTTTTTTAAATTCACCAGGGAGTTTAAGATATTAAGATTGCCTGCCATATGGACAAAAAACCTGCTTACCTTCTCTCTTGGGTAATAATTAAACTGATTAGGAATTCTGATATTAAAAAGGGGACAGGTGGTGAGGAGCACTGGATGTTATAAGCAACTAATGAATTGTTGAACACTACATCAAAAACTAATGATGTACTATATGGTGGCTAACTGAACATAATAATTTAAAAAATGTAATATAAAAAAAAGAATTCTGATAAATTAACCTAAGGATATTTAGTCCTGTTCTACTCATCTAATCCTTACAGAAAATGATTTCCCCCTTCATTGATTTTATACATACCTTAAAAGAAACTTACCAAATTGCATATATACAACTACTATCTGCAGACAGAAATGGAGGTCATTTTTAGGAGAAACGGGTCTCAAATGACAACACAGGCTTCTGGTCACATGCATATTACACACTCTTTACCCATAGTGAGAAGGTAGGTCATTCCTTGTTTCTTATTTATTCCCTGGTATAATCAAACCATATTATGAAATCATGTGATATGCTTCAGAGTTCCTGTCCGGACATGAAACCCAAGACAACGAGCAGCACAATAACCATTGTCAACAGGCAAACTCCAACAAAGTCTGGATTTGCATTTGGTTTTATGTTGAGGGAAGCAGATTCGCTCTGGTTTTTAATAATTCATAAGAAACAGAAATCACAATGTATTGAGTCAGCATTCACCTACAAAGAGTCCAAAAAATCCAAAGGTCTCCCCCACTCACCCTCTTGTTCCACCGACATTTTGAAAATAAAGGGAAAAAACAGAAAAAAAAAAAGAGAATGCAAAGGAACACAGATATGATTTAAATAATTTCAAAGCCTTATTAAACATCACTGAGATTGCATTTGATCCATCAGGCTGACTTTCACTTCTCACCACTAAGACCTTGCAAGGAAACTGGACATGCATGGTTTTGCCTTCCAGGGTTGACTTAGAACTATAAGGGTGAGGTGTATATGAACGTGGGTGTGCTTTAAGTCCATTTTATAAACACTGACACAGGACAATTTTTATCATTGGTAATAATCTTTGAGTCCAAACATGCAGAATAACAGGCATGTGCAAGTTAGGTCTTGTTGCAAGATAAACATGGCAAGGTGAACAGTTTAATGCTAGACAAGGGTTGGGAGATTTGTGTTCATTAGAATATACTGGCCATTGGTCCCACATAATCATAAGTTAGATACACAGGAGTCCACATACAAACAGAGGCCTTCCATTTCAACTTGACTGACCAAGGAAATGGGTCAGAGTGAACCATTTCAGACAAAGAACTGTCTAAGTGCCAAAACAAGTAACAAAATCTTATATTTTAGTCACATGGAAAATGACTAATATAATTATTTACATTGCAACTTGTTTGTTTGTTTTTACAGAAAGGAGTATCCCTGCTTGGTTTAATTTCATCTGTAGAAAATGTAGGACTCACAATTAAAATGTTGGGGGGAGCTTGTGGGTAGGGAGTGGGGTCCCTCTTCAGACCCAAAGTGATTGGGATCAAAGATTGCTGGGACAATATCATTCCTTTCTCTGAGCTGTAGAAGATAAATTCTTCAGCAAAGCAGGCTGACAACATTCTTTATGGAGCATAATGTTTTTAAGATTTCGATTGTCATATGTTAAGAGAATTAAAAGAAGTAGATTTTGTGGAATTTAGACTTTGTGATGACTATTTAAAATTTAAAAGTCAGTTTTGCTAATTTTTCCCCTGGCAGGTCATAAAAGGATTGATGGAGTCTCATCTCATGTATTCCACTTATTCCCTTTGTCAAGGCCTATTTCTTGATCTACCAGTCAGCTACTATCAGTATCCTTAAGTAATATTTTCTTATCATGGTAGAAGATTGAACAAAAACTGTTGCCTTGGCTTTCAATTAAATAGCTTACTCCCATTGGAGGGAATCAGCCAGGACCGGGTCCACCTCAAGTATACATTCCTACAAAGCTCAGTCATCAGATTCTTGAAGATGCAAGATTATTAGCAGTTCTTATTCCACAAGAAGAAATTTGGTTGTAAGGCCAATGCATCTCTTTTTAAAAATGAACACACTGGCCAAAAAACAAATCGACACTTCAAAGTGGTGGTGGTTTTGCCAAGCTCTCCCAACAATTTAATTCCTGCATGCATATGGGCACACAGCCATCTCTCCTACAAAATACTACAGAACATATCATTAAGGATCACTGTGGAACCATCAGTCCTATAGAAATGAGCCAAGGTTAGGCCTCTCAGACTATCAACCTCACATTCCCAAATGAACCCCAACCACAGGCAGGACCTTCCTTCTCCCAGGAATATAGTTCCAGGTGACTTGACACTTCCAAGTCTGAAAAGCAAGAAAGTCCTTTGGAATTAACAGGTGACTCTATAGGAAATACTTATTTTTTAAAGAAAAGGCTCATTGTAGAACCTAATACATTCTGAGAATTTGATAATAACAGAATCACCTCCTGAAAATCTATATTATAATAAAGTGGACCCAAGATGGTGAAGGGCTGGTGAGCTTTTGAAATGATGATCCTCTCTGTTGTCTAATTACCTATTTGCTTTGATAACCTAGTACCATTAATCCTGTAAGTAGGCAAGAAGCCAAACTCTTCATTTGTACATGAGATTTCAATCTGAAGGATTTATTCCATTTTTTCTTGGCTGTAAGGGTGATGTGGCTAAAGGTGACTGGCACCCAAGGGCCATACAGCAGGAGAGATCAATCAGACTAGCAGAGTTTAGAGAAGGTGGGCATAGCAGGGGAGCATTGCCTTGTTCTTGTTTGGCTTAATCTGAGTGAAAAGAAATCACCACTTCTGCACCCATGAAAGATAGTCTAACTGTCAAGCACTTCTAAGATGCTGGCTGGAGGGTTCCTTCTGGCTTTTAATATCATTTTGTGGCTGATGAAATTACCTTTGCGACTTACTTTCTTTCAAACAGTTGCCTGTTCCCTGCACTTAATCCCATGTGCTAGAAAGTCAGGCATAGAGAGGACACAGTCATAGCAAGAGAAAAATACAGAGAAAGGAGGTAAAGGATGAGGGAATCAGAGAACTTTTAAAAAGTGGAGGACGGGAAGTGTGACAGAGGAGAGAGAGAGAGAGAGCCCATGTGAATGCGGAGATACTTTAAAAATCAGGTCATCTGCAATATTAACCAAAAAGATTGGCAGCAAGAGAAAGAAGCTGGGCCGCTTTCATTCCAGGGGACAAGCTGCACAAGCTAAATGTGGTTTTTTTCTCCCCATTTTAAACAAATGACCTCTTGTCACGCATCCTACTGTGAAGCAATCTCATAAACAGCAGCATTGCTCACATGGTGATGGTGGGGGTTGGCTCTATTGCTTGAAAGAGACAAAGCTTCCCTATTGTTGTATTTAAGGCAGTTTTCAGAGCACAGCATTCTTGTTTGCCCTATTTTTGAAGGGATTCCATTCGCCAGTCACAGCCCACTCATCAACCTTCCGTTTCATGTGTTTCACTTCTTCAGGTGAAGTACCACCACCACGTAGGCGAGCACCAAAATGGTCAGAGTGCAAAGAGCTGTGACGGGCACTTCACCGAAGTGAGTAAGAAGGGAAGCCTCCCCCCGGCCCCTGTTATTGCTGAGAAGTCTCCCTGGGATTGCCTTGTATATAACCAAGATGTTTCACAGTGCCTTCTCAAGTGCCCGGGAGAGCACTTTCATTTGATTTGAACTAAATTCAGGTGATTTTGCTAAACATTGACACAAATGCTTCATGGCTTTTGAGACAGACTCATATTGCTAAAGCTATTTAGCAGCAGTAACTTATGGGGAGAGTTATTGCTGTCACATCAACTGCAGTACAAAACTCAGATGATCAGCCCTTCTTGAATTGTCTGAATTTATGAAAATAAATAAACATGAAACATCAGCCATAGTAAGGAGTCAGGGAAACCCCTGAGGAATAGTAATGTCTGTGGAAATCTTTTCCAATGTTGACCTGAGGATCACCCCTTTGTTTTGGGTTTGTTTGTTTTTAAGAAATTTATATATATATATTTTATTCCAGAAGAGGAAACTAACATTTCTTAAAACCGTGCAGGGTATAAACCTGGGAAGTAGCACACTTATGGAAAACATAACCCACAGTCAGAAAATAGTCTATGTAGGTTCATTTCCTGTTAAGGACATCATCCAGAGGTAACTCCACTCTACTCCAGGGAGGGATTTTTTTTACCATCAGATATGGACTCTGTAACCCTGCCTCTCCACCTACCATGCCCTTTCCAGTTGTGACACATAATTTATAAGTGACAAATGGGGTCTACTGTCTAAAACACGATGTCAGTGTCTCCTAGTGTCTGGGTAATAATCTCCTCGAGGTCTTCCTCACCGCAATGCTATCCTCGCGTCTCTCCTACCTGCTTGCTGTCAGAGAAAAGACTGTCAGCTTTTCTTCCCACCTTCCTTCTAAAGGCCAAACCGTTTAGTACCTGGAAACTGTCACTCCCTCCCGCCCCCACACTGTACATAAGCATCACATATGTTCTTTCTACAAATTGGTATACAGGTGCCATTTAATCAGTTCAAATTTGGAAGCTACATCTTCAAGGGTCCAAGAGAGCTCACTCCCCCCGTATTTTCCCCCTTTACATTTTTCTTATAAGACATACAGCTTAATCAATTAACAAACTAAATAGCTTATATACTGGCAATATATTACAGATGGGTTTATGGCAGAGTAATAGATCACATGAAATGGACCATGTGGTACCCCAGTGCATGACATCTTAGTAGAGCCCTGAGGACACTGACAGTAGCGTCTCTAAGTAAGTAGTGCTGTATGAATACAGACACATGCGGATCTGTATCTACATCCATCTGACTAGGCCAAAAGGAGCAGGTAGATGCAAGATAGAGACACACACATGCTGGATGGGGCCACTGCACACCTTGTCATGCCATTTGAAAGGGCAGTTACAGGTTGCTGGTTTTGCAGCCATTAAAATTACACTTTATGGAAAATGCTTTTCTAATTGTGTTTGAGTTGCTTTCTGTAGTAAGCATCATTGGAGGAAGACCAAAGCAAGAGCAACTAGAAGTTAAATATACATTTAGCTTAGCTGCAATACAGAACTCCGGAGGAGAAGCAGGCTGAAAGATTGGTTTCAATTTTAGGCTCGGATTCTCTCCCTTGCCATTTTCTTAGAGCTGTGTGTCTGTGTTTGTGTGTGTGCATGCGTGTCTGCGTGGGCGTGGGCGTGTGTGTGTGTGTGTGTTCCATCACATCATCTCCTGAAGAACGCTGGGTTTCGCAGGCAGGCGGCTAGTCACCTGCAACAACCCAGGGGTCCTGCTGAAGCTTCCAGGCTGCTGTCAGTATCAGATGCCAGGGTCTGGTCGGTGGACATGGAGGAGATGTCATTGACGGACGAAGATGGAGGGAGACTCTCACTGCTGTTCACTGCTGCACCTGTGCTAAGAAAATGAAGACCAACATGACTAAATCTGGAACTCAACCCAACTTCATGTGACTCAAGATGCAGGCCTGGGCAAATACAAGAGGTGATGTTTAGTCCATCATTCATTCAACAAGCCTTTTAAGAACAACTAATCCGGGGGCATCTGGGTGGCTCAGCGGGTTAAGCCTCTGCCTTCGGCTCAGGTCATGATCCCAGGGTCCTGGGATTGAGCCCCGCGTCGGGCTCTCTGCTCAGCGGGGAACCTGCTTCCTCCTCTCTCTCTCTCTCTCTGCCTACTTGTGATTTCTGTCTGTCAAATAAATAAAAAAAAAAATCTTTAAAAAAAAAAAAAACAACTAATCCAGGGCACTGTTAGATGGTGAAAATCGAGACATAACAAGGCAGAGTCTCTAGTCACAAGTTATTCTACCTTGTAAACCACCTGTAATGCTCTTAAAAGAAAACAAAGGCAGGCAAACAAAAATACCCTACTAAAAATCCCCAGTCACCCCTTCCACCTCCAATAGTGTCATATAATTAGCCTGGGTTAGGCCAAAGCATTTGCATTTTTTAGAAGCGCCTAGATGCTGTCTAGTCAAAGGTTGGGAAGATCACTGCCCTATTGAGAAGGAAGATGAGCAAGACATGTAAGGGTCCTATTCCAAAAATATGGGCTGAGCAGAAATCAGAATTACTTGGAGACTACAGCTCTTGAAAAATGATGGCATATTAAGTAAACATTATTATAGTCATTAATGTGATATCAAACTTAAAATCCATACAGAAAAGCTAAGTAGGACTTTCAGTGAAAGTTACTATAAACCAAATACCAAATAATAATAACAATAATAATAACAATAATAATAGAAGAAGAAGCCAGAGCACTTTTTTTTTAAGTAGCCTCCATGCTAGAGCACACTTTTTGATTGTGTGTTTACTTTCTAGCAGGTTTGCTTACCTGGTGATCTACAAACAAAAATTCTGAATTATCAAATTAATTTGAAAAAGTATTTTATTTATATGCTCTGTGGGAATATAAAGATTTTGAAACTCTGAGAAGAAACTTGCTCAGGGTAATCACTCAGTAATACTTGCTGAGTTACGTCTTTGAGAACTACAAAGGACAGATAAGCCAGAGGCATTATAAAATATAATTAACCATAACACCCTGGAAACAGTTTATTCTTCTCTTTATATATTCTTCATATGTAAGCAATACAGGTGGTAAAAAGCATGCTTTGTGAAATAGCTTGCAATTAAAAATATCTGTAGTATAAGTCATCTAATAAAATCAGAGATGAAGAATTCCCACTAAAATGTTCTCTCTTTTGAGCAAATATAGTGTGCAAAATACATCTGGTGAAAAAATAACAAATTAAAAATGTTACAGTAGTGTTATCATAAAGATCTAATAAGTCAGAAAAAAATCTACAAACTTCTATGACTCAACACCAGAAAGCAATCCAATTAAAAATATGGGCAGAGGACCTGAATAGACATTTTTCCAAAGAAGACATACAGATGGCCAGCAGACCTATGAAAAGATGCCCCACCTCATCAGAGAAATGCAAATTAAAACCACAAAGACACATCACCTGACCTTTGTGAGATTGGCCAGCATTAAGAACAAAAGAAGAAGAAAAAGAAGAAATAACAAGTGTTGATGAGAATGTGGAGAAAAATGAACCCTTATATACTGTTGATGGGAATATAAATTGGTACAGCCACTGTGTAAAAACACTATGGAGTTTCCTCAAAAAATTTAAAAGATAGAAATACCATATAATCCAATAACTTCATTACCGAGTATTTACCCAAAGGAAACAACACTAATTTGAGAAGATACATGCTTATGTTTATTACAATATTATGTTTATTACAATACATGTTTATTACAATATTATTTACCATAGCCAAGATATGAAAGCAACCTATGTGTCCATTGATAGATAAATGGATAAGGAAGATGTGGTATTTATGTATACATCAGTATGGTATGGTATGGAAGTAAGTGGTATTTACATATACTATATATAGTAGGTATATGTATTATATATATATATATATATATATAAAAACATGGTATGTGTGGAAGATATGGTATTTATATATACATATAAAATATATGTAATGGAATATTGTACAGCCATTAAAAAGGATGAGATCGTGCCATTTGGAACAACATGGATGGATTTAGAGGTTATTATACAAAGTAAAATAAGGCAGACTGAGAAAGACATACCATATGATTCCACTCATATGTGGAATCTAAAAAACAAAACAAGTGAATAAACAAACAAACAAAAAGCAAAATCAGACCTATAAACACAGAGAACAAACTGATGGTTGCCAGAGGGCAGAAGGGTGGGAGGATGGGCAACATGGGTAAAGAGCAGTAGGAAATACAGGCTTCTAGTTATGGATTGAGTAAGTCACAGGAATAAGTGGCACAAGATAGGGAATATACTAAATAATAACGTAAGGTGACACGCAACACTTGTGGTGAACACAGCATAAAGAATAGAGAAGCGGAATCACTATGCTGTAAACCTAAAACTAATGTAACATTGTGTGTCAACTATACTCAAATTAAAAAAAAAATAAAGATCTATGAAGTGGAGAGGTTAAAATAATTTCTTTGCTCTTTGGGTAGACATCTCTTCTGTAAAGAAAAAATGTGATGAAAATGTGACAAAATGTGGAGAGGACCCATACACATAAGCTAAGAAAGATCATATGTATTTCGTAAGTATTTTAAAATTTTATTTGTTGATTATAAACATATTTATATAAATTATGGGTAATCTGAAAGAATAAAAAAGACAATAGGCACTGATCCTCAAATAATAATAACTGCTAAACTTTGGGTATATGTCTCTCTAGTGTTTTTGCTATGAAGTTTTTCTAATTGTGATCATTTAGTATATATTATTTTGTATCCTGTTATTTTATATACAAAAAAGCTTATGCATTTTTCATGTTCTTTAAACACTAAAAAGTATGAATATCTCCTGATCTTAAATGTCTCTAGACTATTAAAGCTCTTGTTATCATCTTCCTGTAATAGTCTTATTATCAGAACAATGTGTAATGTAAAGGTTCCCTGGCTTCAATTTATTCCAACTTTACTTAATTGTATCCTTTATAGATATGGTGCAGAGCTAGTTCATTTCTTCTCCTGACATATACTAGTAAATTTCATATACTGGGAGATAACCTTTGACTTCCTTACATAGCCCAAGTGTCCGGGTCTGTCCTCCACTCCACAATTTGGATTAAATTATACTGATACCAAAATCCTATGTGTTTTCACAAATTTTGGTCAGTAATAATTTAGCATCACTATGATTGACTGCTCAGAATCTTCAATTTTCCACATCCTTATTAAAGGGTAGAGATTAAAACTAGACACCAAGTCTCAAACAATTGTGGGCTGACAGAATGTGATGGCTTTGCTCATACATCCATTCATCTCTTGGATGACATATCCCCATACTATGCATGACTTTAAAATTATGATACTGGAATAAAATCTTTAAAAAAAAAAATGAGGGGCGCCTGGGTGGCTCAGTGGGTTAAAGCCTCTGCCTTCCGCTCAGGTCATGATCTCAGGATCCTGGGATCGAGCCCTGCATCGGGACTCTCTGCTCGGCAGGGAGCCTGCTTCACTTTCTCTCTCTGTCTGCCTCTCTGCCTACTTGTGATCTCTCTCTCTGTCAAATAAATAAATAAAATCTTTAAAATTATGATACTGGAATGCCTAGGTGGCTCAGTTGGTTAAGCAACTGCCTTCAGCTCAGGTCACGATCCTGGAGTCCCTGATCAAGTCCCACATCAGGCTCTCTGCTCAGGGGGGCATCTGCTTCTCCCTCTGACCCTACCCACTCTTGTGCTCTCTCTCTCATCCTCTCTCTCTCAAATAAATAAAATCTTTTAAAATATTAAAAAAATAAAATTATGATACTATCATTTAGATTTAGTTTTTACTTAAAATATGAAATATTGCCTATCTATCTTTTTTTAACAGCTTTATTGAGATGTAATTCACAAATTTAATTTGTATAATTCATTCATTTTTAGGATATTCACAAAGTTGTGCAACCATTATCACAATCAATTTTGTGAGATTTTCATCACCCCAATAGCATTCTATTTCTTACTTATCCACCAGCCATAGGCAATGACTAACCCACTTGCTGCCTATAAAGCTGCCTCTTCTGGACTTACTATATAAATGGAATCATACATGATCTTTTGTGACTGGCTTCTTTCACATAGCACATTGTTTTCAAGGTTCATTCATGCCGTAGCATGTAGCAATACCTTATCCCTTTTACTCCTGAATAATGTTCCACTGTATGGGTATCTCCCTTTTGTTTACCTATTTACTAGTTGATGGGTATTTGACAGATATTTAAGCTGTTATTATTTTTGGCTTTTATGAATAATGTTATGAACTTTCATATACAAGTTTTTCTTTCTCTTGGGTAAATACCAAAGAGTGGAGTCGGCAGATCGCAGAGTAGCTATGTTTCACATTTGAGGAATAAAGTGACTACACCAGTTTACACTCTTACCAGCACTGTATGAGGGCTCCAATTTTCTCTTACCCTCTCCAGAATTCCTCATCATCTCTTTTATTGTGGCCATCCTAGAGTATGTTAAATGGTATTTCATTGTGGTTTTATTTGTATTTGCCTAATGGCTAATCATGTTGGGTATCTTTTCATGTGCTTGGCCATTGGAAAAATGTCAAGTCAGATCCTATTGCCATTTTTTAATTGTGTTATTTTCTTCTTATTATTGAATTGCAAGAGTTCTTTATGTATTCAGGATACAAGCCTCTTATTACACAAGATTTTCAAATGTTTTCCTCCTATCCTATGGATCGTCTTTTCACTTTATTGATGGTGTCTTTTGAAGAACACATATTTTTAATTTTGATGAAGTTGAATTTACCCATTTTTTCCTTTTGCCATTGTGCTTTTAGTGTCATATCTAAGAAATCATT